ACTATTATCTTGTAATTCTGAGTTCACATCTCATAATGCAGACCTTTAGCTCAATTCAGGCTTTTATCTTGTAATACTGAGTTTATATCTCAAAATTTAGACTTATATCTTGTAATTCTGAGTGTATATCTCGTAATGCAGATTTTTAACACATAATTCAGACTTTTATCTTGCAATTTTGAGTTTATATGACATAATTCAGATTTTTATCTTGTAATTCTGAGTGTATATCTCATAAGGCAGACTTTTAGCTCATAATTCAGACTTTTATCTTGTAATTCTAACTTTATATCTCATAATTCAGACTTTTATCTTGTAATTCTAACTTTATATCTCATAATTCAGACTTTTATCTTGTAATTCTAACTTTATATCTCATAATTCAGACTTATATCTTGTAATTCTAACTTTATATCTCATAATTCAGACTTTTATCTTGTAATTCTGAGTTTATATCTCGGTATTTACACTGTTAGCTTATAATTCAGACTTTTATCTTGTAATTCTAACTTTATATCTCATAATTCAGACTTTTATCTTGTAATTCTAACTTTATATCTCATAATTCAGACTTTTATCTTGTAATTCTAACTTTATATCTCATAATTCAGACTTTTATCTTGTAATTCTGAGTTTATATCTCGGAATTTACACTTTTAGCTTATAATTCAGACTTTTATCTTGTAATTCTAACTTTATATCTCATAATTCAGACTTTTATCGTGTAATTCTAAATTTATATCTCATAATTTAGACTTTTTTTCTTTAAATTCTAAGTGTACATCTCGTAATTCAGACTTTTAGCTCATAAGTCAGACATTTGTCTTGTAATTTTGACTTTATATTTTGTAATTCAGACTTTTATCTTGTAATTCTGAGTTTATATCTCGTAATTCAAGACTTTTAGCTCATAATTTAGACTTTTATCTTGTAATTCTGAGTTTATATCTCGTAATTCAGACTTTTATCTTGTAAATCTGGGTACGTCTTGCCATAAAAACTTGTATTTTGTAATTTGTAATTTTGCGTGTGTGTGTGTGTGTGTGTGTGTGTGTGTGTGTGTTTTCAGCTCACTGTTGCCTGTAAGCGAGTCAGAAATGTTCAGAGGTTCTCCAGTGCTCCACATGCTCAATCCCACAATGCACCAGTGGAGGCCAAACCCAGTCCACCAGCGAATGACTACAGAGAACTCGACCGCAAGATCCTACAGCTGTGTGGTAAGAAACCAACATGTGATGCCCTAGTAACCATTTACAACACATAGCAGCAATGCACTAAAACACCTCAAAATTCCCCAGCAACCACCAAATGGTGCCCTAGCAACCACTTACAACTCATAGTTGGAACGCTCTAAAACTGCTCAAAATACCTTAGCAACCCCCTAGTTACTCCCTAACATCCACTTAGAACACATAGCAGCAATGCACTAAAACACCTCAAAAGACTCTAGCAACAACCTAACGTTGCACAAGCAACCACTTACAACTCATAGTTGCAATGCACTAAAACTACCCAAAAGTTCCTAGCAACCACCTAGTGATGGCCTAGCAACTACTTCAAACACATAGCAGCGCTGCACTAAAACGACTCATAAGACCATAGCAACCACCTAGTGATACCCTAGCGGCAATACACTAAATCCTTTTAAAACACCCTAATAACTACTTAGTGATTCCATAGCAACCACTTATAACATATAGTGGCAATGCTTTAACACCACCCAAAAGGCCCTAGCAACCAACTAGTGATGCCCTAGCAACCACTTACAAAATATAGCGGCAATGCTTTAAAACCAACCAAAAGACCCTAGCAACCAACTAGTGATGCCCTAGCAACCACTTACAAAATATAGTGGCAATGCATTAAAACCACCAAAAAGACCCTAGCAACCACCTAGTGATGACCTAGCAACTACTTAGAACATATAGCAGCAAAGAAATAAAACCACCCAAAAGACCCTAGCAACCACCTAGTGATGACCTAGCAACTACTTAGAACACATAGCAGCAAAGAAATAAAACGACTCAGAAGACCCTAACGACTACCTTGCAACCACGTACAATTCATAGTTGCAATGCACTAAACTACTCAAAAGTGTCTAGCAACCACCTAGTGATACCCTAGCAACCACTTACAAATCAGAGTTGCAATGCACTAAAACTACCCAACAGTGCCTAGCAACCACCTAGTGATGCCCTAGCAACCACTTACAACTCATAGTTGCTATGCACTAACACTGCTCTAAAGTCCCTAGCAACCACCTAGTGATGTCCTAACAATCACTTAGAACACATGGCCGCAATGCACTAAAACTCCTTGAAATTCCCTAGCAACCACCTAGTGTTGCCTTGCAACCACTTACAACTCATAGCAGCAATGCACTAAAACTACCCAAAAGTGCCTAGCAACCGCCTAGTGATGCCCTAGCAACCCCTTACAACTCATAATTGCAATGCACTAAAACTGCTTAAAAGACCCTAGCAACTGCCTAGTGATGCCCTAGCAACCACTTACAGCTCATAGTTGCAATGTACTAAAACTACTTAAAAAGTGTCTAGCAACCACCTTGTGATACCCAAGCAACCACTTACAACTCATAATTGCAATGCAATTGCACTTAAAAGACCCTTTCACCCTTCAGCCAGTGAGTATTTCTCCTTCAGTCTGCTGTGGTCAGGTTGTGATGTGTGTGTGTGTGTGTGTGTGTGTGTTGTGTGTGATTGACAGGTGAGCTGTATGATCTGGACGCCTCGTCTCTGCAGCTCAAAGTCATCAACTACGTGAGTAAAAAGTTTTCTGTGATAAAGAGTTGCTCTGTAAAGAGAAGCCGAGTGACTTTTCTGCCGCCGGAGCAGAATTGATCTGTTTTCCTCATTTACAGGAGCGAGGGCCTTGTGTTTTTCTGTATGATGAAGGTCGCTGGCTCTTATTTACGGGCCCAGACTTAGATAAGAGTGTTTTAAAGAAGCTCCTGCTGAAGGTCAGAGTGTTTCCACTGATCTACAGTCCCTCTGGACGCTTATTATATTACAGCAACGCAAAGAGAAGAGAAGCGCTTACCGAGCAATTAACCTCAAACACAGGCAAAGTCATGAGTCCAGCGTACTGTCATCATTCTCTCTGTGCTGGGATTAAACCAGCTCTTCCTCTGATCAGCTGATGACATATATTTATTCATTAGGCAGACATTTACATTTATTCATTTAGCAGACGCTTTTATCCAAAGCCACTTACAAATGAGGATAAGCCAAGCATTCCAGATCATCAGAGACTGCAGAACATGCTTTACTTATGTAGAGTTTCTGTCCTGTGTCTAGTCTAAATATCTGAACAAAAGATACTGTCGTTTCAAAAATGATATGTCAAAATTAACTGGGTTTCCTTAAAGCAGGCACAATAATCTGCTCATTTAATCTATTTAAAGACCCTAGCAACCACCTAGCTATGCCTTAGCAACCACTTAGAAAGCATAGCAACCATGCATTTAATACACTCAAAAGACCTTAGCAACCATCTAGCAATACCCTAGCAACCATTTAGAAAGCATGGCAACCATCTATTTAATCCATTCAAAAGACCTTAGCAACTACCTACTGATGCCCAAGAAACCACTTAGAAAGCATAGCAACCATGCATTTAATCCACTCAAAACACCTTAGCATCCATCCTGTGATACCTTAGCAACCACTTAGAAAGTATAGCAACCATGCATTTAATACACTTAAAACACCTTAGCAACCATCAAGTGATACCCTAGCAACCACTTAGAAAGCATAGCAACCATGCATTTATAACACTCAAAACACCTTAGCATCCATCCTGTGATACCTTAGCAACCACTTAGAAAGTATAGCAACCATGCATTTAATACACTTAAAACACCTTAGCATCCATCCTGTGATACCCTAGCAACCACTTAGAAAGTGTAGCAACCATGCATTTAATACACTATAAAGACCTTAGCAACCATCAAGTGATGCCTTAGCAACCACTTTGAAAACATATAAACCATGCATTTGCTCCATCTAAAAGACCTTAGCAACCACCTATCAATGCTCTAGCAACCGCTTAGAAAACATAGCAACCTTCTATTTAATCCATTCAAAAGACCTTAGCAACTACTGTTGCCAAAGCAACCACTTAGAAAGCATAGCAACAATGCATTTAATGCACTCAAAACACCTTAGCAACCATTTAGTGATACCCTAGCAACCACTTAGAAAACTTAGCCACCATGCTTTTAATACACTCAAAATACCTTAGCAACCATCTAGCAATACCCTAGCAACCTTCTAGAAAACATAGCAACCGTACATTTAATATACTCAAAGACCTTTGCAACCATCTAGCAATACCCTAGCAACGTCTTAGAAAACATAGCAACCATGTTTTAAGTCCACTCAAAAGACCTTAGCAACCATCTAGCGATACCCTAGCAACTATTTAGAAAACATAGCAACCTTGCAACTAATCTACTCAAAAGCCCCTAGCAACCACCAAGTGATGCCTTAGCAACCACTTAGACAACATAGCAACAATGCATTTATTCCATTCAAAATACCTTAGCAGCCACCTAACAATTCGCCAGGAACCACTTAGAAAACATAACAACCATGCATTTAGTCCACTCTTAAGACTTTAGCAACCATCTAGTGATACCTTAGCAACCACTTTGAAAACATAGCAACCATGCATTTAATCTACTCAAAAGACCTTATCAACTTCTTAGCAATACCTTAGCACGCACCTAGAAAACATAACTATTCATTAAATCCACTCAAACTACCCTGGCAACCACCTAGCGATAGCCTAGCAACCACCTTGAAAACATAGCATTATGCATTTAGTACACTCAAAAAAAAGCTTAAGCAACCCTCTAGCGATACCCTAGCAACCACTTAGAAAACATAGCAAATCATGAATTAAATCTGTTCAAAAGACCTTAGCAACCACCTAACAATACCCTAGCAACCACTTAGAAAACATAGCAACCATGCATTTACTCCATCTACAAGACCTCAGCAACTGCCTAGCAATGCCCTAACAACCACTTAGAAAACATAGCAATTATACATTTAATTCACTCAGAAGACCTTAGCAACTACTTAGCGATACCCTAGCAACCACTTAGAAAACACAGCAACCATGCATTTAATCCACACAAAGTACCTTTGCACCATCTAGTGTGTGTGTGTGTGTGTGTGTGTGTGTGTGTGTGTGTGTGTGTGTGTGTGCGTGTGTGTGTGTGTGTGTGTGTGTGTGTGTGTGTGTGTGTGTGTGTGTGTGTGTGTGTGTGTGTGTGTGTGTGTGTGTTGTATGTGTAATGGACAGAATGACGCAGTATAATCGACACACAC